GGGTGTGAAAATATGGGGTCTAGTAATGAACATGTTGTTGATCTTATGTGCTTAGATAATCTTGTGCATATCCCTGTCCAACAGGCTACTCATAATCTTATTAATGATCTGTCTCAGCCTGAGGGGAGGAAAAAATTGCTTCTGAAAATCCTGCCATATCTGATAAAAGGAAAAGCATAAAATCTGTTTCTTATGAAGGAAAATTGGATGGAAAAAATGTATTGAATGAAAATAAAAAGAGAGTTTTAGAGTTTATGTGTGATCATTTGCCTTCTGAAGCTGAAAAATAAAAAAAAAAAACAGAAAAATGACTGGTGCAGAAACCAGTAACTTGTCTGACAAATTGGTGGAGGAAACCAGCCATAAATGGTCCCAAGTTTCCAAATGAAAGTTTCAGTATGGAATTGTAGAGGTTTGGGAGGACCCTCTACAATTTTCCAAATCAAAGAGATTCTAAGAACTCATCTCCCTAATTTTGTGTTTCTTTCTGAAACTAAAACGAAAAATAATTTTATAAAAACTGTGTGTAAAAAACTCAAATTTGGAGATAGATGGACCTCAGTTGAGCCAATAGGACTTAAAGGAGGTCTCTTTTTGTGTTGGGATGATTCTATTACTATATTAGATATTTTATGTTGTGAGTTTTGTATAGAAGTGTGATTTCTTTATCCTGGTAGTAATATTAAGTTTTTGGGAGTTTTTGTCTATTTAAGTACTGATAAAAATATTAGGAAAAGCCAGTGGCAAACTCTGATTAGACATAGCCTTATGTGGGGGGATTGTTGGTTTTTAGGTGGGGATTTTGATGATTTATTATATCATTATGAAAAGAAAGGGAAAAAAAAGAGAGGACTGCAGTTTTATAGGGTTTAGGAACTTTGTCAGGTTGATGGGAATGCAGGATGGTTGTTTTCAAGGGCATCCTTTTACTTGGGCAAATAACAGGCAAAGGGAGGGTTTTGTAGAGGAGAGGTTAGATAGAATTTTCTTTTCTCCTGCATGGCTTTTAACCTTTCCTATGTCCACTGTTAAGCATATTCATTTAATGTCCTCGGATCATTGTTTATTGCTGCTGCAAACTGACCCACACAGGCAGAAGGGGAAGAAAAGGTTCAACTATGATGCAAGGTGGCAGACAAAAGATGGATGTAAGGAGGTCATAGCCACAATTTGGAAGAATCATGAGGGGAGCAAGGATTTGGTGGGGATCCAACATAGACTCAGGGATACAAGATTAGCCCTTTTGGACTGGAATTCAAAGATGCAGTCAAATTCAGCACAACAGATTGATATATGTAAGGCTAAGCTGAAGGACATGGTTTCTCTGGGTAAGGACAAGGACTAGAGTGAGTGGGAAAGATGTAAAGCCCAATTACACAAAGCTTATTTGGAAGAAGAGATGTACTGGCAAGGAAAATCCAGAATATTGTGGTTGAAAGTCGGGGACAAGAATACAAAATACTTCCATGCCTGTGTCAACCATAAAAGAAGGATCAACAGTTTAAACCTCCTTACCAGAAGCGATGGTTCCAAATGCAGCAGTGAGGAGGAAAATTTGGTTAAAATCCTGGAGTTCTACAGGGACATTTTCAAATCTCAGAGGCCAAATATTAATAGTTGCAATCTGGAAGGTATCGACAAAGTGATTGGAGATCAGCAAAACCTAACCCTTACCTTACCTGTCAAGGATGAAGAGATCAAGGCAGCACTTATGGAAATGCAACCCCACAAAGCTCCAGGTATAGATGGCTTCACTCCCCTATTTTTTCAATCTAATTGGGACTTTATTCAGAATGATGTTTGAATGGCTATTAGAAATTTTTTTGCTACCAGCTCTGTGCATGCCCAATTGAATCGCACCATTATTTCTTTGATTCCTAAAATTAAATATCCCAAAAAAGTCTTAGATTTTTAGGCCCGTCAGCCTTTGCAATGTCATTTACAGACTGATTTCAAAAATCTTGGCAAATAGAATAAAATATGTCCTTCACCTGTGCATTTCTCAAAACCAAGCAGCCTTTGTGCCGGGAAGACAAATAATTGATAATGTAGTCCTCGCAAATGGACATATTCATTACCTGAATAGCAAAAGAAAGGGTAGGGATGGTCTAATGGCTATCAAACTTGACATGGCAAAGGCTTTTGATCGTGTTGAGTGGGCTTTTCTGGTTTTAATCCTAAGGAAAATGGATTTTTGTCATTCCTTTGTTAATTGGATTGTTTCTTGTATTCATTCTTCTTTCTCTTTCAAGATCAATGGGCAGCCTCAAGGATTTATCAAGCCCTCTAGAGGCTTAAGGTAGGGGGATCCCTTATCCCCCTACCTTTTCATTATCATTTCTGAGGCTTTATCAAATCTTATTAACCAAGCTGCTGCTCATCATCAATTTCAGGGTTCTAAGATTGGTAAGCATGCCCCAGTTGTCACTCATCTGTTTTTTGCTGACGACTCTATTACTTTCTGTGAAGCCACAACCCAAAATGCTTCCACTCTTTTGAATATGCTTGAAAACTATGGCCAGGCTTCGGGGCAGAAGGTAAACATTGCTAAATCCTCCATCATTTCAAAAAGTACATCAGAGGAGACTAAAGCCCAAATCTCTCAAATATTTCAGGGAATTCAAATTGTAAATTCTTCTAAATATCTTGGTTTACCCTTAGGTATAGGAAGATCTAATAAAGCTACTTTTCAATATGTTGTTGACTGTGTTCTCTCTAGAATCTCAAGCTGGCAGAACTGTTATTTGAGTGAAGCAGGGAAACTCACCTTGATAAATGTTGTGCTTAGTGCCTTACCCTTGTATGTGATGTCATGTTTTAAATTGCCTTTGAGTGTTTGTAAGGATATCTGCAAGCATATTGCAGATTTCTGGTAGGGTAGGTCAGGAGAGGGCAAAAACAGAATACAATGAGGGGGG